TTAAATAGGCAGTACTTTATAATTGTTAAGGTTAGAAAACTTAGTAGTATGCTATCTAACAATATTATGGAAAAGCTTTATGAGCAATTACTTAAAGAAGCAAGGTGATCAACAATCATATTAATTATTAGATGACTAGTTTCTATCTAATAAAAAATATTAGAAAAAAATATCAATAATGTATATTTATAGTTTTTTCTGTCAAATGGCAAAAAAAGATCACTTTAATAACACATGCAAGCATTTTTGTATGCTTGCCAATTACTTTTCTAATAGTATATTGTGTAAATATCTAAAACTAAGGGAATTAGATTATTAAAGAAATTAGTTAAATATAAAAACTCTAAATTTTTATATATGTAGCCAAATTTTAAATAAATAAAATCAACTATCTTAAACTACACCAAATATATAATATAAAGAATTAAATCTATCCATCATAGTTATAATTTCTGGCCAAGATTCTTATAAGATCCAAATATACTCTTATACAAATTATTAAAAAAAAATAAATTTTTAAAAAAACTAGCTGATGCATATTTAGTAGCATTTTGGTTTTCTGTGCTAGGTTATATCGATCATGCTGTATAATATTAGATCTTCATATATTTTACTATATTACGTATAAGTTAATTAGGTTTAATTAGTCTGGGATTGATATAATATAATGACAAATTTATGCCAGATTTATGACAGATTATGATGTAATGTTGTATATTTAAGAACTAAATAATAATAAATAGGAATTTTGAACAGTTAATGATCAACTTTACTTCAATTTCTTGAATATGTTTTGTGCAAATATCATTGATTGTTGTAGTCTTGTGAGATAAGGAAGTAGAAGTCGAAGATAAAGAAGAGAGGTTAGCTATAAGGAGAGAAAATATAGCGGAAGATATAAGCAAATCTAATAATACACAACAATAAAGGAGATATTAGGTGTAAGAAAAGAAAACGTAGTAGAACACTTAAGCAAATTCAATAATACGTGACAATAAAGGTGTGAGGAGAGAAAACATAGTGGAAGATATAAGAAAATCCAAACCCAGAAAACCAAAAAAAAAATAAAATAAAATAAAATAAAATCAAAAAAAAAAAATTTAAACCAAGTAATCGTGTATCGATAAGTTTGTGGATACTTGTAATATATTGTATGTTGAAACTTAATTTGAAAAGTTATAATTAAATGATCAAATAATATATACATTATTTATTATCGCAGTAATATTAGCAACAAATAATTGAATATATAGAAATATAGAATATAAAGAAAATTCTATAGAAAACGTAAAGGTATATAAACAAATATTGTATTGTACTGTATATATATTTTCGATTGAACATAATTTTTTTTTTACAGGAATATTTGTAGAATTCACTATCAGATCTCCTCCAAAACGTTTTACCTCCAGGTTATAGTTATCTAATTCAACAATTTACTGTGCTGTCTCCATGTCAAACTGAAGAAGGTTTTAAGATACCTCAGTTTGAGGTTAATGCATTTGTAAATATTGCTCTTATAGAAAATATTAAAGCATGGTTTGTTGCTTTTGAAGAGCATTCAAAAACAACAATATCACAAGCCAAAAAATATGGTATTAAGAAAAAACATGTAATTTTTTATGAGTCATGGCATTATATTCATAGTAAAAAGATTAAAGATAAGCAGGAAAATCCTGAAATTAAACAAATACAAACAATTCGTAACAGAAATATGAATTATTTGGCAATTATGAATCTGAAATTAGAATGTTATAATATATCTAATAATTACCTTTTAGAAGTCAAACTTGTTTTTAAACATAACCATATTAACTATTTAGCTGAAGCACTCAGCTTTCGTTGTATTCAAGAACAAATAGCTGCAAAATATCAATTATTTTATAAGATCATTTTTTGGCTACCACCTTGTATATTTATAAAGATAAACTTCTTGTTTTTATTTTATCAAGTGAAAAACTTATTAAAGCTCTTGCTGATTGTTTTGTTAATCCAAATTACGATTATGTTAAAAATCTTTTTACTTGCTATTGTAATTCTCAACTTGGTAAAAGAAATAGATTATTAATGTTTCAATATTTAAATAAAGAAGTTGAGAATTACAACACTTCTGGTCATGGTTAGGCAGTTTTTCAAAAATATGATTCTCAAACTGGGAAGTCATTTATTCTTTGTATTGTCACAGGATTAATAAATTGAGTATATAAACAAATTATGCAAGCTGGTGAAATTTGTTATATCGATGCTTCTGTATCATTTGAACAATTAAACACTTCAATTACACTTTTTTATACCAGCTATATTGCAGGTGCTTTACTGTTAGGTTTATTTATAACATCTGATGAGCATGAAACTACTATTAAAAACTATTTTACCAAAGCATGCATTTTTCAATCATAGTTATAATATTGGGTTGCAAACTATTTTAATAGATAATTCTGCTACAAAACGAAATGCAATAGCATGATATTGGCTACAATCTATTTGACTTTTATGTATGTTTCACTTTTTTTAAACATTTTGGTATTGAATCTATAAACATAATATTAACAAGAAGTATTGTGTTTTAATTATAAATAAAGTAAAAAATATCCTTTATATACAAACAACAACTGAAATGGATAGTCATTATCAAGAATTAAGAAATGATTATCAACAATATCTATTACTTATAAGGTATTTGGAACTTCTTTGGAATCTTTGGCAATATTGAGTACATTTATTTTGGTCTGGTCTTTTGATACATGGCAACTATACTAATAATTATATAGAGCATAGCTTAAAGATATAATTTTTGGAAGGATCCAGACATTTAATCCAATTTAGGTTCTTCAGTTGATTATAAGAAATATGAAAAAGTTCTATGAATACTGATTGCTTAGGTTTGTGCATAATCATACAGGTTATATGAAAATTACAAAAAGATTTTGTTGTTCTGGTTGGAAAAATATCAATGCAGATTCAATTAAAAAACTGTCTAATAATGATGAATATCGGGTTCCAAGTGAGAAAACAGATCTTACCTATATTGTCAATAGTGTGATTGGGACTTGCAGTTGTCCAATTGGGCTAACTGGGGTACTATGCAAATATCAAGATGCAGTGGCAGCTAAATATCACATTGAAGCAATAAATTTTTTACCTGCGATAACAGTTAATGACTGTAGAATTTACTTTTATATTGCAACTGGTAAGTAATAATTATAAAAAAAAAAAAAACTTTTTTTATAGTTTAATTTCTTTTAATTTTTATTTAGGCCAGAATATGATAGATTATTCTTTTTATGCAGCATTGTATATGAAGTTTGCTATAGTTGGAAATATAAATTTATATGATGTAATTGCAAATAATATGATATTGAATAGATATGAATTTTACTATAACTAGTACTATTTAGTTAAATAATTTATAATGCTAATAATAGGTCTTTGTTGACAAAACCCTCAATCTATGTATAACTTTTATTGTTATGGCCAAATCTTAATTTTATCTAAAAATAGAATTTGACCTTGAAATTATTTATATATAGAGAGTCAAGCAATTCATTAGAAATTAAAGAATCGAAACACCAAGTTATTAATTTACCTGAAATTGAAGAATTGAAACACCAACCTGAAAATTTGCTTGAAAATGAAGAATTAGAACATCAAGTTAATAAAACTGAAGAATCAAGTTTATTAAGAATTGAAGAATTAGATTATAATTCATTTATTAATTTTTTGGAAGAAATTAAAGAAGATTATGAAAAGTAGAATTCTCAATTATACAAGGTATTGGATAAATTTTCAGCATAATATAAAGCTGCTAAATCCTAATCAATTCTACAGTTAACTGCTTTTCTTTATGATATCCATCATAATTCAGACCCTCTGGCATGTATTAAAGATGGCAAAAAGAACTCTGTTCAGGTAAAATCTGTGAAGCAATAAAAAAATAAAGGCACAAGTATTAAACAAAGATACTCAAAAATTACAAAAATTGATAAAAATAATGATCTACATAATATTCCTAAGCATAAAGTAAGAAAGATGAGTAAAAAGGAGCATAATTTGAGTAAAAATATTTTAAGTAACATTTTAAACTAAGATATAAAATTTAGATCTTATATGATTAGTTTAATAGAATCTTAAATGCTAAATTTAAATACTAATATTTTATATTTAACAAGGTTATCAAAATCAACCAGTTGGTATATATAATCTCACTAAATTAATTTCACAAGTTTTTTTTTTTTTTTGTTTAATACGACTTGCAAGTTTTTTGAAATTAAAGTTATATATATTTTATATAATTTATAATAATAGGGATTTTAGATCTAATATTTTATGATCGTAAATTTTTTTTCAAAATTCTATACCTAATCATCAAAAAAAAAAGTTGGCTTATTTTATCTCTGGATAACTTGCATTTCATTTTCTAATTTCAAAATTTCAAAACAACAATAAGACTTTTCAACATCTACTTATTTTCAAAATAAGTTGAGTCTAAAACCCTTTAATGAAACAAGCCAATCTCTAATTAAAATATTTGACATTGCATTTAATAGTTTATTTAAATTTAGATTCAAAGAGTTAAATAAGCATGCATACATAATTTTTTTTTGTTACTTCTTGGTTGCACCTTAACTTTTCTTATGTTTATAAAGCTAGTTTTAAGAACAATCTTTGATTTAAATAAATTTATTACTTTTCTAAAAGTATTTAAATTTTATTAATATAAATAGAAATTATTCTATCAAGTGGAGGATTATTAAAAATCTGGATTATTTCAATTAATTATGCATCTTTTCAAACTTGTTTTAGAATTCATTCTTATTAAAAAATAAATATTTGAAGAAACTTATTGTATAATTGGTAAATATGATACATAAAATAAACCATTTGAAATTGAATAAAAATAATGTTCTTGTATTGAAAAAATTCATCTCATGGCACTCTATTTATAGAATAATTAATTTATTGTTTTCAATTTTTTTTTTTTTTAAAAAAAAAAAGAAAACTCAGATTTTTATCTAGTTAAATTTTTTATGATTACTTTAATCTTAAAGTAAATACTAATATTTTAACATACTCTAACCAATCGTGCAGTCTTTTATTTCAAAAAAAAGTTATATTGTATACTGTATATAAAGATCTTAAATTTTATTGGTTAATTTTGTATTGCTTTATAATATAACTCATGGTTATATAGCATGATTGACATAGCATGAATGACATAATCTGGCACAGAAAACTAAAATGCATATTATTTTTTACAATTGTTATACAGTATATAGTTAACTTTTTTTAAATATAATCTTTTTAAGTATAACTTTTTTCTAAATACAACTTTAATTTTGAGCCTAAGTATATGTTTGGTATATAGTTTTTTTTTTTTTTTTTTTTTAAAAAGTAATCTCTATGGCCAGAATTTTTTATTAGATTGTCGACTTTAGATTACAATTACAACAAAGCTATATATATATTTTTGGTATCTAATTTAAGTAGTCTACCTAGATTTTACATTAGCCATCATATCTGCAATCTAACTAGAAGATTATTTATTTAAGCTTTCTGGTTATTTACTAATGAAAGTATAACTAGCCATATATGCAACTTTTGGTTGCCTATTTAAATAGTCTGCCCTAGATTTTACACTATTTGCTATATCTACATCTTAACTATAAGAGTATCTGTTTAAGCTTTCTAGTTACAACTGCTATTCAGCCTTAATCTAACCAAGACAACTTACTATTTATATACTAGATTTTGTGATATCTATAAATTTTGTAACTCTTTTTAAGACTTACTAACTACTTCTAGCTAATCTATCTATGAGATAAACCTAACAAAGTAATTCATGTTTTATATATGTTTTTATCTACACATTCGATAACTTATTTTTAATTAGTATCTATTGTGTTATTGCCACCAAGTTCATGTTTCAAGCTATCTTTTTAGATACTATTATAACCCAATCTGTATCTCAAGCTACAACCTTTCTAACTAGTCTTTCATTATGTACTCCTTGCTTTTGTAGATTTATCCAACTTCAGTACCTATATTTAAATTTTTTTTCTTCTTTAGATTCTTTATCAGTTTTTTCTTTACTTCTAGCTAGCAACTCAGAAGAATTGATCTGCCTAGGCTTTATGTGCCTTATGGTCTCCTTTTTCTTGATTTATGCTTCTAGAGCACATGTTCTTTTTCTCTGATTTTGGTAACCTGGCAGTTTGGCTAGTATATTCTCCTACTTAAGAACCTGGTTGCTTGATTCTCCAATCTTAGTTTTTGGTTTCAAATTTAATCTTTTTATAGTATTATCAAAGGTATATTACCTCCTAGCTTAGGACTTGCCAAACAGGTTTTTAGTTATTTTAATTTCTTGGATTTATTATACCAAAGCTCCTATTCTAGATAGTATAACCAAAATTACAGATAAGAATTTAACTAATCAGTAATAGCTATTAACTATATTATAGAACTATTTTTCAAAAATGTTGTCAGTAGGATTTGAACTTTAAACCTGCCATTTGGGAGTATAATAACTCCATCACTTTACTAAGTCACTACACTCTTATGTTTAATATATAGTTTGTCTCAATAAATATAATTTTTTTTAATTTTTTTTTAAATGTATATTGCTAAAAATCTGATCCCAATTAATTGTATTTATAGAGAATTAACTATAGTTTGTTTTAATTATATTGATCTATTGTAATAATTATAAACTAAAACATAATAATAATTTTTATATTAGTTTGTATATTTTAGTAAATTTTTATATCTGTTTATTTTGTTAATGTTATTATTGTTTTTAATAGAAGTTCACTATTTTGAGATAGTAGTTAGAAAATAAGAAATAAGACAAATAAAAAATATTGGTTTGTATCTGTAGTAATATTATTGCTGTTTATTGTGATTCTTTTTTTTTTGAATAGTGGAAAGTTATCAAGGATATTAGCTTTTCTGTAACTACCTAAGGTTCTAATAGGATCTATCAGAGAAGTGTTAGATCTACTAGGAGGAATAAAGAAAGGTTCAAAGACTTCAGAACTGATAAAAAGTGTATTTCTATCTCTTTTCAGTTCTTTTGTAGGTGTTTTAGATTGTTTAGATATCTTGAGTATTGGGTATATTATAGCTTTACTTTAGTTAAAAAAAATTTTTTATATAGCAAAAAACTTTTTTTTTGTTTGTTTGTTTTG